GGATTAGGGGTTAGGAATTTGGGTTTATTGTTCTTTTGTTTCTTTTGCCCCACCTCCCCATCATTCTTATCCTCTTTTTTGTTTTAGTGTTTTTGTTATGTTTTGGATTTTCATTTTTATGTGCTTAACTAATCTTGAGACTGTGTGGATGCTTCAATGGCCTTTCTCTTATCCATGCACTTATCAGAGGTGTCCCTATGCTCATTTTTTGGGCATTATGGAAAGGAAGGTGTAGGAGGAGGTTTGAGGGATTGAGATTAAATGCTTTGAAATGGCAATCTTATATGATCAAACCAAAGAAAGAGGAAGGTAGAGCTGGTACAGATATGTTGCAAGACCTTAGGATTTATCCCCCTTTTTCGGTCACCACTAAAGTGAAATGTATGAATTGGGAACCTCCTGCAATTAACAAGGTAAAATTAAACTTTGATGGGACTTCCAAGCAAAATGGCCTTTCTAGTGGTGGGATGATTTTAAGGGATTCTAAGGGGCATGTTTTGTTAGCCGCTGCTGCAGCTTATGGGATTGGCTCTAATATGAAAGCAGAATGTCTGGCCTTATTGGATGCTCTAAAAATGATTATGCATCATGGTTTGGGTACTTCTCAGCTTGTTTTGGAATCTGACTCTCAAGTATTGGTTAACGTGGCGCTGGGGGTGGTTGAGGTTCCATGGCGTTTATCTATTTATATGGAGCAAATTTTAGATATTCTTGAGAAGATGAATTACCATATTAGGCATGTGTAAAGGGAAGCAAATAGAGTTGCAGACTTCCTGGCTTCTTATGCAGTGCAGGCTGGTAGGTATTCTGATTTTTCTGATAATGGTACTCTGCCTAGTACTGGCAGATTACTTCTACAACAATACCAAGGAATGATAGCTTCTGCTAGACTAAACAAGGTTTTGATAAGTGAGCATAGGCAGGGGATTGGTTGACACTGGGCTTGGGGTCTTTGTGCACCTGCTGCTTGGTTTCTGGGCAGTGTTGTGTCTGGTTTGGCTCAGGCTCAGTTAGGGTGTTGAGGCCTTGGTGATGTGCTGCTGTATTTATGGCGTTGGAGCAGGGTTCCCTACTGATTTAGGTAAGGTCCCATCTGGGGCTATCTTCTGGCTGTTAATCCTGTTGTAGGATTAAAGCCAACTTATGTTGGTCTTCCTTTTCTTCATCACTCATCATCTCTTTATGTGAGGTGCTGGATGGTTGCTGATGTGATATTTTTACTTGGGCATGGTGCTGGGCTTTGATGCAGGGTCATTTTTCATTTTGCTGATTTTTCTCTCTGCTGTGGGTCTTGTGCTCTGTTCATGCGACTGTTCACGTGTATGGCGTTTCTCTGCTGCTATTGCTTTCTGTCCAGCTGGTCCTCTTCTGTTTGGATCCTGTTCAGCTGGTCTGCTGGGGAGTGATGGTGGCCTTTCTGGTCCATTGGCATTCATTGATGGTTGCTGCTGGATCAGTCCAGCTTTTCTCCTTGGTTGCTGTTTTTTGATGGCCACTCTCTCCCCAATACTATGTCTTTGAGGTTATTCACATGGTTTCAGCTGGATGCATTATTCAAGTGCCTCTCAGATGGTTCTCTCTCGGCTGCTTTTATGGCATACTGTCCCATACATCTTGAGCTGTTTTTCAGCTTTTTCTGCGCCTTCAGCTGGATTGCTCCCCAATTTGCTGCTGTTTGCCACTGTTCACGTGACTGTGCACGTGAACAGTCAGGTTGCTGTCCCAGGTTTTTTTGGTTCTCTGCGGGCTCTTTAAAGGTTCCTCAGCTGGTTTTCCTCGGGTCCCTTTCACTTTCGCCTCTCAGCTGGTCCTCTCATGCTGCTGGTTTGATGGTTCTCATTGCAGTCAGT